CTTATATTTAGAATTTGTGTTATTTTGTGAACTTTATAATGAGTTATGTATATGTAATATATTTTATGATTTAATTGTGAAAAATATTTTAAAAGATAATTTAATTTTTTTTATGAATTATCTAGTCAATGTTGTTTAGAAGTTCTATTGTTTGTCATCGTATTCAAATTAATCTATAAAACTTTGAAAGTGATCTAACTAAAAAAATTATAAATATGATATTAATATAGAAGATGTGTGATTTAGTACGTGTTTTTTATTCAAACTATTTTATCCAATTAGTTATGTTTCATATTTGAGTGTTTTGATTTATTATTCCTAATAATTAAGATTTTATGCTATGCTCTTTTTTGTAAGTTTTGTTTTATAAATTGTTATTAATAATTACTTTATTATTTATTATAATAATAATGTGATTCTCTATAAGCTATATTTGGTTTTAAATTATTTATTTATTCATTTTATAAATTATATAATTCTTTATTTATGAAAGCACTGGTGCGGTTATTGATTATTTTGGATTCACGAATGCATCTATAATTGTTTTCATGTGTATGTAATATTGTTAAAAACTTGTGAATCTTATTTAAGTTATTGGACATTACTATTTTTATTTTTTTTTTTGAAAATCAAATCTTAATGCATTAAATCACGAGCAATAGTGTTTACAAGAAAGAGGGGTGGGTTGTCAAACCACTCCCCGCAACCTGACTCAGAAAAGGCCTCCCTAGCAACAATGTGGCCGGCACTATTCGCAGATCGTCTTACAAATCTGAATTGGACATCGTCAATCTTAGATGCCAAATCTTTAATATCATCAATCAATAAACCAAAAGCAGAATAAAAAGAAGTACTGGAAATAGCATTAAAAACAACTTGGGAGTCCATTTCCTCATCAACACCTCCCATACCAGTATCCTTTAGCCAACTCAAAGCTTCTCTCAAACACAACGCTTCAGCCTCCCTGACATCAAAAATGCCATGCACTGACACATTCTTCACGGCCATAAACTTCCCTTCATCATCTCGTAGAACCCATCCAAGACCCATCATATTATCTGTTGAATTTAGTGCTGCGTCTGTGTTTAATTTCAATCTCCCCTGGTTTGGCACAGTCCAATAGTCCCTTACGGTAGGTGGCTTAGGCGTGTTTGGTTGCTCATTAGCTAGCTTAGCTTCCAATTTGCCCAGTGGCTGAGCGTTCTGCGTAACAACACATGCATGTCAAAAGCAAGCCCTTTCCAAACAAAGTCATTCCTAGAAGCCCAAATACCCCAGCAAGTACGTCATTATGAACTTAGATAGCAAGTCACCCTTCAACATCTTAATATAACCAAATAGCCATTCGACCACATTATTACCGTAAGCAGTTGATGATGCCGGGAGCCCTACTAAGTTCCAAAGCTTTACCACCTCAGTGCATTGAGCAAATAAATGACATGCCGTTTCATCTTCCCTCCTGCACATATGACAGATCAAAGAACAGTGAATATGCTTCATGTGCAATGCATCTCTCGTTGGCAAAAAGGATGAAGCCAACTGCCAACAAAATTGCTTCACCTTGGGAGGCACATCTAGGTTCCAAATAATAGACCATGGTCTATCATCTTGTGCTATGCCGGTCAGCCGTTTATAACACGACTTTACCGTGTAGTCCCCTTTATGATTCCAATACCAAAACCACGAGTCATGTGGTTTTCGCATACTCAAAGGGACTTTCAAGATTAGATTCACATCCCGGTCAATAAAAGATCCCTTAAACGATTAACATCTCATCCCGTACCTTGAGTATTAAATAATGTTGCAACAGGAGCATCATACTCAACCTCTGGCATAGGCGTACGTACATAGGGCTCCTCCTCGTCCGGCAGCCATGCATGCCGACCAATTTTTGTGTCTAGGTCATTCCTAATGCGTCGCCTACAACCCTGCCGTAACACATTCTGTACCTCCAATAAGCCCTTCCAGATAAAAGATGGATTTCCACCCTGAACTGCATCAAAATAGGAGCATTTAGAAAAATACTGAGCTTTATACACCTTTGCCACCAATGATGTTGGCTTGGTGATTAAGCTCCAAGCTTGTTTACCCAGTAGTGCCAAGTTCATCTCCCAAAGCTTCCTGAAACCCATACCTCCTGCAATTTTTGGAACCGACAAACCGCCCCAGGACTTCCATCTCAATCCTTTTCCTGCCCCCACAGTTCCACTCCACCAGGCACCAGTACTCATTCATAAGAACCTCAATTTCCTTGCACAAACCTGTCGGAAAAAATAGTAATGGAATAAATATAATGTATTATATAAATGTATATATTTAATTAATTATAATTTTTATCTATCAATCTATCAATATATATATATATATATATATATATATATATATATATATATGTAAATAAAAAAAAAATTAACTGTATAAGGTAGGAATAAAGTAGGAATTACAATTACATTGTTTGGTAGAGAGGAATAATGGAAATGAGAGAAGTGATATAAAGATTAAAATACCCTTGTATAATAATATTAGAGTAAATAGAGTAAATACCACCTATGGTCCCTCGAGTTTGGTGGCATCGCCATCCATGGTCCCTAACTTCCGTAATTACCATCCGTCATCCTCCGAGTTGTCAAAAGTTACCTTCTAGCGTCCTTCCGTTACTTCCTCCCGTCTCAGCCGTCAAAATGGAGGGTAATATTGTCATTTGACTTATACGAAAAGAGTTAATACCAGCCAAGGTCCCTCGAGTTTGGTGGTTTGGCCATCTTTAGTCCCAAGTTTCCATATTCCATTATTTTCCTTCTTTCATATTCTCTTCTTCAAATGTATTATTATTACTATTATTTATAGTTATTATTAAATTCTTATTATTATTATTACTATTATTTAAAGTTATTATTGTTATTATTAAATTATTATTATTATTATTATTATTATTGTTATATTATTAGCATTAAATTATTATTATTATTATTATTATTATTATTATTATTATTATTATTATTATTGTTATTATTGTTATTGTTATTGTTATTGTTATTGTTATTGTTATTGTTATTGTTATTGTTATTATTATTATTATTATTATTATTATTATTATTATTATTATTGTTATTATTATTATTGGTGGTTTGGTCATCTTTAGTCCCAAACTTGGCCAAACAATATTAAAGAAAGTTGGAGGTTCCTCAACTTCCAATTCGAACTCCCTCTTCTCCTATACAATATGAAAGAAGGAAAATAATGGAATATGGAAACTTGGGACTAAAGATGGCCAAACCACCAAACTCGAGGGACCTTGGCTGGTATTAACTCTTTTCGTATAAGTCAAATGACAATATTACCCTCCATTTTGACGGCTGAGACGGGAGGAAGTAACGGAAGGACGCTAGAAGGTAACTTTTGACAACTCGGAGGATGACGGATGGTAATTACGGAAGTTAGGGACCGTTGATGGCGATGCCACCAAACTCGAGGGACCATAGGTGGTATTTACTCAATAATATTAATAATAACATTCAAAGACAAATATGTCATTTTCCCTTCTCATTATATGGATGAATTCATTGAATTACAATTCATAATGGGGACCTATGAATTGCAATTCAATGAATTGAGGAAATTGCAATTCCCTCTAACTAAACAATGTAGTTTATCATTTCATTGAATTGCAATTCAATTCCAATGCAATTCATGCTAACCAAACACCCCATTCATTCTAAGTGAATCAATTTCCTTCTCTTTCTTCACATCTAAGTTTAAACTTAAATATTATGGAATTTAAATATTCTAAGTTTTGCTTCCAAAAAAAAAAAAAAAAAAAAAAAAATTCTAAGTTTTAAAAGGTTAATAATATTGGGGAAAACTTCATGCAATTTTGTTTGGTAATTAGGCAATTGAAATAAAGTGAGAGATTTTTTATGTCTTTAAAGTGGTTGAAAATGTCATTTTCAATTATATTAACATATTTAACCTTTTTTTTTTAATGCTACTGGCTCTATTCGTATACTTTCTCAACTTACTGAGGCTCGAACTCACAACCTTCTAAATAAAAGTTCAACTCAGGTACCATTAAACCACATAGTCTTGATAACATATTTAAACTTAAATATTCTGGAAACTTAAATATGAAGAAAGAGAAGGATATGGGTCTGCTAAGAAAGAAAGGAAAGAAAAACTGTCAAGCTAGCAAAAAAGAAGAAGAAGAAAAAAAAATCGCGAGTTAACAACTTTTAAAGTAGGTTAGTGGGTTGAACCTTGGGTTGCATTTTAAAAGTCACAAGTTTAATCTAGGCTCTTGCAATCCTTTAATAATTTTATTCAAAAAAATGAAAGTAAAAATAAAATTATCATTTTAACCATACTAAACGGTGTCATATAACGGGTCGTTAGCGGATGGGCAATATATACAACATTTTAAAAATTCAGGGACAACATTTACACCACTTAAAATTAAGGAGCGACGACATTGATAATTAGGGTATAAGTAAGAGACATAAATTACAATTTTTTTTTAATATTTATTGATTATTTCATAGTTGAATTGCTTTCTCTTCCTAAGTTGTTACACAAGAATTATCCTAATAGCTAGTGTTGTACTTGATACACTCAAAATACCTGCACACACATAGTCCGTAATTATTATCCATCTATACAAATGAAAAAAATAAGGGAGAAAATTTTAATTTATGTCCATCGCAAATATGTCAATTATCAGTGTCATCTCTAAATTATTAGTAGTGTAAATGTTGCCAATTAATTTTCAAAGCGTGACATATACTATTCTTTATCTGAATTATTAATGGTATAAATGTGGTTATCTATCGTTTTTCCGATTTAAAAACCACGTTTTTTTTTTCTCAATTTATCTTTCTTCGTTTGTTCTCTTCCCTTCTTCGAGGGTTAAAAAAAAAAAAAAAAAACTGAAAGATATTTTTTGAGTTTCCAAACTTGCCCTTAGTAAGCTAATGGCATTTATGACCACATTGACGCTAAATTTACACAACCCAAATCACGAATTAGGGTTTAGTACTTGCAGTGGAAAACCCCCCGAAAGACTCACACGATAGCTGAACAGAGAAGTGCATTTTGTTACCTAATCTATCAACAGATAATTGAATTTGCTGCTGTGCAAGTTTCTTCCAGCAGAGACAGAATTCATGGGTTACGTGCAAGAAGCAAGAGAAAATCACGTCAAGAAGAAGGTTGAAGAAGGTACTCGCACATACATTTCATAATCTGTGACCCTTGTGTTTCGCAATTACTATTAAATGATTTCGAGAAATTTTGTTATTTTACAATTACCCAATTTGAGAGGCTTGTTTTAATTATTGTTTTCTGTTATTTAAGAAACAATGTGCAAATTGCGCCGGCTTAGAGTCTTGGAGATCATCTTTAGGGTTGCCAGGCTTTGTGGTTTTTATGCAGTGGAGAACACCGTAGTTGAATCTTGAAGAATTACATGGCCTCATGGATTATTTGCTTCCCCTGTTTCTTGTGGGACTTTGTAGAGTTATGAAATCTCATGGGTATCATGTGCTAAACGCTGGGGAATCACTCCCAACTTTATCTTCTGAATAAATTGTCATTTTATGATTTTGTTTTACTTCATAACCATATGGAGTTGAAGAAATTGTATATGACATATGCAGTTTAAATTTCTCTAGTTGTGTGAAATGCATCGTCTTATAAGAAAAATTTAAATAAATCCTGAAGAGGTATATGTGAATGGATCAAATATGGTGTTATCTTATTTAGTTTCTTTTACCTATGATTTTTAGAAACTCACTTATGACTTAACTGGATGGACATTATTATTATTTGAGAATAGATAGTGTATCATGGGTGTTGGTTTTGACCTATGCCTATATAATGAATTGCATACTTCAAGTGTTATTTCATGTTTTTCCTTTGGACATTCAGTTTTTCCCTGGTCATCTGGCACAGGTTCGTTATTTTTGACATGCAAATATTTCAAAATTTCAGCTTTACGCAGCAAAATGAAGCAGAAGGCGCTAAAGGAGTGTGATGAATATGCTGCGAAATATGCTGAATGTGCAACTGGAAAAACAATATCTGTGGTTTGGCAATGCCGCAAACAGGCTAAAGAATTAAATAATTGCCTTCATCAGTAGTAAGTTTGCTTATATTATGGTCAAATCTTGTTTGTTGATTTTTCTTAACAAAGATATTGAGCTTTATTAGCCTTAAAAGAGCTGGTTGTACCTACACGTTCTGCTTTTCTGTTATTGCCTTCTTGGCATATACGTTAGAACTATAGGATATAGAAAGAGTCATGATTATGAACTATCTTCCAGTGGCATTACCTTGGTGTAATGCCATTCTGATGCTCTGGAAGTGTCATCCCCCGGTATATGCATGGCGTATCCATTGTTGTTAAGGCGGACTTTCAAGGCGAGGTGCCACCGACCGCCTAGTCGCCTAGGTGATTAGGCGGCCACCTAGGCAATGAGGATATATATATATATATTAGCAGGATATAAACATATTCTCAAATCTCAACAATAAGTACTAAATTATGGAATAATTTAGCATTTCCAGCATTGGTCTTTAGATTTAGCATTCCTTTTAGGATCCGTTGATGGATCATAATTGGGGTTATTTTCATTCTCAACCATAACCTGTCTTAAAACAAAGTAAACAACCACTAAGGAGAGGCTGGGAGGGGGGAGTCAGCGTCTTTGGCTCTTAGCTACGTATTAGTAGGGGTTTTATTTTTTTTAAGGCTTGGCGAGCTCGTTAGGCGACCAGTCTCCACCGACCGGACGCCTAGGCGACTCCTTAACAACAATGGCGTAATTGTCTTTGCCATAGTTTACTCTGTCAACATGCATATTTGTTTGCCATCTATGTGATATGCCCCGCTTTCCAAACAATAAACCTTGATTTGAATCCTATTTTCGCCCAGCAAGCATACCAACGAAATCTATCTGATGGTACTGTGGTATTTGAAAATGTTATTGACATTAGAAAGTTGCCCTTGATAAGATTCAATTGATGGATACTTGCTAATGTGAAATAGCCTCGGTTACTTATTTCTTGCTCAAAATTCAATAGGGATATATAATATAATTGCATGTGTAGTTCCAATGATTGAAAATTTCACCTAATTTTTTTGTAAATGTAAGGAAGACTGGATATGTTTTATTATGCAGTACCAATGACTCTGTGTTGGAAGAAATGAAGAAAGAGTATGCTCTTCAGCAGGATGGAAAGGAGCCAATGACTATGAGAGTATAAATTGTGCGGTTGGGATTTTACCTGGTTCAGTAGGCAGTATTTGGGAGAAAGAAAATATTTTTCTTCACCTGCAAGGCCCAACATTGTGTCGGTTTCTAGTCTGTAAGATCTTGTTTAAGCTAAAGTGCTTTGTAACTTTGTGGAGCCTGATGAGAATTCCAAGCTAAGCAAGAATAAAAAGACAAGAAAACTGGTGTTTGTTGACCTTGTGACTTGGTGCTTAATTGCTTATTGTTTTCACGTGTATATCCGAGATATCATACATCCAATGTTATGATAAAAAAAAAATTAAAAATAAAAATAAAAATAAAAAATTGTTTGAACTCGAGTTTCCAACATACAAGTATACTATTTAGGAAGAAGGGTCGATAAAATTGCCAACATTTTGTGGTTAATGAAGGATGCATATTAAATATTAAAAATAAAACAATAGAAATGAAAAACAGCTTTGTTGATTACTTACATTTTCATCTTCAAGAATGGAGAGTATATACATCTTTCTCGCTGTTTCAATAGAACATTACAACTCCATCCATCACTTTGGGTGTCAATATCAATCATCTTTAGTGCAGTTGTCATGATTAATAACATAATACCATTCAAAATGTATTGATAAATAATGGTACCAAATAAAATACATCAAATAGAAATTAAATGTAACAATTGAAAAATTACAGCAAATACAAATGTAAAAGTTTTATTAACTACTCCCTAACTTGCTATCATATTTGTGATGATGAAGGTGACTACTTCATCCACTGCATTTTCTTATTCATTTTTCATGAGAATTCACATGAGATTTGAAATTCATTTTGTAGATTTTTTTTAATTTATTTAATTATATATATTGAATTTGAGCTTATATCTATATATATTTATATAATATATATTTTTTGTTCTTGATTGATTTTGAATTACAATAGTAATGTTTTTTGTACATTATACTTTCTTTGTTATACTAACACAAATAATTTCTCATTTTACCTTTTTACCTTTTACATTTTTCCTTAACATCGTTAAATCTAGCCACTAAATTATAAGTGAAATTAAAATTACGAAAAGTGGTCAAATAAACCCCTAAACTTTATTTGAAAAGTCAATTAGCCCTCTAAACTTTTAAAAAGTGTAATTAAACCCTTTAACATGGTATATCGAGACAACGAAGTTCAAAAATCGATAAATGACCTGCTATTAGGGTTCCAGCATCAATTTTATCCATCTTCGCTGACAATCTGGTGGCCTTCAACTGGTGGCCTTCCGTCGGGGAAGTCGACGGGGCTCCAACAGAAGGCGACTCAACTGGTCACTTTCCATTAGGGGAAGGCGACCCATGGAGAAAGCGACCACTATTCACCTTCTCACTGCAAGGAGACCAACTGGGCGCTCCATCGGGGAAGGCGACCAGTTGGTCGCCTTCCATTTGAGAAGGCGACCAGTTGGTTGCCTTTCGATGGAGAAGGCGTGACCAACTGGTCGCCTTCTCTGGTAGACGACAACCGACGACGATTCGGCCGTTGCCAGCCGCCGGAGATAGATAAAATTGATGCCAGAACTCCAATGACCTGTAATAGCAGGTCAATTACTGGTTTTTGGACTTCATTGCCTCAATATAACATGTTAAAGTGTGTAATTGCACTTTTAAAAGTTTAGAGAGGCTAATTGGCTTTTTAAGCAAAGTTTAGAGGCTTATTTGACCATTTTTTCTTAAAATTATATTAGGATTCGTCTGGAAAGCAGGAAAATGACTTCTGAAAAATATTTGTTGGAAAATGAGTCATTTTCTAGAAAACATTTTCCTTTTCAGTGTTTGGTTGCATTTTGGAAAACTTGGTGTGTTTAGTTTATTTTCTGGAAAAATGAGTAGAATTATATATTTAAACATTTTGGCGGAAAATGACTTCCCTCAAATTTTGGCGAAGTCATTTTCCGCCATAATGACTTCATTTTCCCCAGTCAACGGAGAATGTTTTCCGTTGACTGAATTTTCCTTATGCATCCAAACACTGAAAACGTGAAAAACATTTTCCAGAAGTCATTTTTCGGGTTTCCAAACGGACCTTTAATTTAATTGGTTGCATTGGTAGCTTATACATTAGGCTTTCTTTTTTGTACTTTTGCTTATCTATAATAAATATATAAAAACAAAATGTTCTCATACAAATATAAGACTAACATTATCCCTGCAAATATCTCTCTCTCAAAAATGAATCGCACTTCCACATCATATCATTTGCAAAACATTTATTATTCACACTACATCTCTGCAAATCTAATATAATTTTAAAAGTGAACCCCAATATCACATCATTTTAAAACATTAATAAATAAATAAAATAAAAAAAGCAAAACAAAACAAGCAAAAGTACATAAATAAAATAAAAAAGCAAAAAAAAAAAAAAAAAAAAAAAAAAAGGTACAAAGTTGCCACGATTGCAAATTTGCAATCCAAATAAGCAATAAAAAGAAAATATAAATGGTATATTATTCCACATCATTTTGCCACATCACTTTGTCTATGGGTCCTTTGGAGGGATTTGTTCAGCCTAATGTATCATTTTCTCGCCTAAAATACACTTTCTAAATCAAGAAAAAAAAATCTATGGTGCAGATTTATTTATCATGTACTACTCTTAGAGCATTCACAATGGTTGATGGGGTGTTTGGTTGGCATGAATTGCATTGACATTGAATTGCAATTCATTGAAATGATAAACTACATTGTTTGGTTGAAAGGAATTGCAATTCATAACGCCAGATAACTTCTCCTCTGACTTTATTATTATTTTAATAACTTCATTTACAGATGAACTCAAATCCTCTCTCCTATTTTCTCTCTTCAATTTGTCAGAAATATCTCCATGCTCTTAGAGCATCCACATTAGTTGGGAAGAATGTGGGGATAATATAAGAGTGATTAGGAAAGAGAAAATGGGAGGGGGAGAGAAAAAAAATAAAATAAAACAAAACTGAATTTAAAAAAAAAAAAACAAAAAAAAAAAATATGAAGTCAGGCGCGCCAGTCGGCGAGCCTGACGGCTTATGGCCAAGCTGTGCGCGAAACGCGCACAGCGTTTCTTTCTTTCACTTTTTCTTTTCTTTTATTTTCTGACATTATTTTGTAATTTGCAGGAGGATTATTTCATCTAATAACTCCATTCCACACTTGTGAATAACTCTACCCAAGTGATTTATTCTGACATTAACTCTCTATTATTCACTGATGTAGATGCTCTTACATTTAAGAGAAAGCAAATAGGCCTGCATAATAATTATAGGTATGCAGAGATTTGTTCCTGTGCCAACTCTTGGTATTCTGAAAAATATTGTATTTAAGCATGCATAATAATGTTATTGCAATTAATGCATGTCTGGAAAACCTAAAATTACTTTTGAAATCCCCAACAAACGAATTTGGATCTTGCGCCAAAGCATTCTGAATTGCTTTTTTTTTTTTTTTCTTAAAAGAAAAAGTCTGTTGGTGGAAACTACACAATTTCGCAATAGTTGGAATATTTAATTTTATAATATAAATATTATTAATGGTATTTGTTCCGGAATTAGATTTTCTAGGCAAACAACATGTTTATCAACGTGTCTTTTATATCTCTAGACTAGAAAAAGTTAGCTGATAAAGAGTAATTGATTAAATGTTATGTCCAAGGTTCCTTTTGAGTTCTCTAGTGCATTGTTTGCATGTTCTTTGCATTAAAGTATATAATCGTACATATATTTATGAGATAGAATCATTTCGTTTTCCAATCAATTGGGAAGGAACTGCTGAGCCAGTGAGCCTCATCAGCAGCTTGGTGAGAAGGGGCTACTGAGGTTCATTGAGGAAAACCCTTCACCGGGAAAGTAGGAACAATGAATTCCTGGGTTAGATATGAGCCAGGTGAAAAAGCCGATGTCGAACCCGTTTGAACTCCCTATGCTTACTACTATAAAAAATAACATATAAAGATGAATTTCTACTACACCTATTAATAAAGATAATAAAGATGCACAGTAAAGTTTATAAAAAAAAAAAAAAAAATAGTATGGTGGTAAAAATGTAAATAAATGCATAAAAAAAACACTACACCTATCTCTAAAAGGCGTAGCGTTTTTTTTTTTTTTTTAAATTTTAAAACATGAACATTTTCCGCTACACCTTCTTCCAAAAGGTGTCTCAAAAAATATAACTAATAAAATAATAAAAACACTTTATGAGACACCCGCCACCAAAAATGTCGTGGAAAGCACTCAAAATTTAAAAAAAAAATTAAAATTAAAATTATATATATATATATATATATATATATATATATATAGTGAAAGGTTCCCGTGCGGTTGTGCGGTTATTAATGTGCGTGAGTGTTGTGTCTAATGTGTCTGAGATTTGTACTTAATGTGCGTGAATGTGTAAAATGCAGCAGAAAAGTTCAGTTACTCCTCAATAATGAAGATACACTGCTCTTACTTTCTCACTGCCATCTCTCCATAATTTCCCTCTTCAAGCTTCCCGTACCACAATTCATCATGGTATAGAGCGGCGACACGGTAGCTACGCAGCCGCCGTCTCCGGCAGCGGAGAATCAAGCCAAAAGACGCATCCGATGACGCCGATCAACCATTCTCCTGCTCGCACTACATCTGTGATCAGTCCACAAAAAGATTTGGCTTCGCAGAGAAGCAATAACCTGGAAAATATAGAAAACATCAGTCCACAGAAGAATTTGGCTTCGCAGAGAAGCAGCAACCTGGAACTACTCACGCACATTAAGCACAAATCTCACGCATATTAAGCACAACACTCAGGCACATTAAGCACAAAACTCACGCATATTAACATCACGCACATTAAGCACAACACTCACGCACATTAAGTATAAACCTCACGCACATTAATCCACCGCACAACCGCACGGGAAGCAACAAATGCACCTGATCCATTCCCTATATATATATATATATATATATATATATATATATACACACACACACACTTTCTGCGACACCCTCCACGCGGGGGTGTCGCGGAAAGTTAATTTTTTTTAAGCACCCCATAACTTATAATTTTACACACACAATTTTATTAATTTATATAAAATAATAATAATAATGATAAATAATAAACTATATGTATGGTGCTAATGACCTTGTGGTCTAGTGGCACGAAGTGGCCGGGTAGTTGAAGTCTTGGGGTATACTACATTGTAAACACATG